TTTCTGAAAGTGTCCGGTCTTCATCGTGATACTTAAACAGCTCCTTCCGAATAATATTTTCTAAAATTTTAACAGCCACTCTCGTTAGACTAACGGCTCGGTGGCACTTAGGTTCATGTTTCGTACCTGTTTTTAAGACAGTACTCACCACGGCGTTCTTCCAGTCTTTTGATAAGCGTTACGTATATATTAAATATATGCTTAAGGAGTTCTCAAAGAAATTAACTAGTTTCTTTAATAACCGAGAATGCATCTCATCTGGTACCGTGGATTTGTATATCTAGCTTATATATAAGACCAAATACACCGAGTTCTTTAATGATCACGTTGTCCAGTGTGTGCGGAGGGATTTGTGTGAACTGACGAGAAGGGTGTTTCCACGTTACATTGCTAAAGTAGTTCAAGAATCGTTGACCTTTATCATATTCAACCTCTACTAATGACGAAGGATTACTGTCTCCCCATAGTGCTGGAATATTTCCTCTTCATTTTGTCCTTTGATTTATATACGAGTATACAAGCATTTAAGGCATTCTATAGATTCCTTAAGTTTTTTTCTTCTTATAACAATTTCGAATTTCAGAGGGTCGACACACAAGTATTCCGGGCTTCTCGATGTTGAGATTTGTCTCATCAGTACGCAGTAACCTTAAACATTCTCACATTCTACTCCTCTTACGGAGATGTATGCGAACCTTCCCACTGAACCATAGTGAATAGTCTCTCAGACCTCTTGGAGAAGTCCAAAAGATATGGGTTGCAGTAACTTTTAAGAATCACTTTTGAAATTCATCCAAAGCTGTTTCGATTGGGGACTCCATCGTTCAGTCAATTGACGATGCAAAGTGCACAATATCATGTTTATTTTCTTTCCAAACGTGAGGTTTGATTTGGACCACTTTGTAACCAAGTATTGAGACCGCCTAGCAAGACTTCATTTAATTTTTAGCCTGGACGACTGTGACAGAATATAACTGTCAGTAGCTCTTTTCCCTGGTATTTCAAGCGGGAACAAACTAATTCACACGTCCAACTCTCATGGGACATGTTATTAATAATGGTAATAGGATAGCATCCCCAAAGAACAGAGCTACACTTCCTTTACGCTTCAGGGTTCTGTCGGCGCTTACTAAAGTGAAATCTTCAAAATACTACCTATAGGCTACGTCAGCCACGTTTCTGTGGCTGTAATTACATATGGCTTCGTAGAGTCAATCTGTACACCTAATTCCGATCGCTCAGTGAGCAAGCTTCAGGCATTTGTGTAACAGACCGGATGCCTATTTGAGTGGCTTCGTGCTGCATCCATAGTGGCTTCAGGATTATTCTTTGTCCAAGCCTCACAACCCAAAAATTTCTAATATCTAGGTCCTTTTCACCAGCATTTAACCCAAGTTTTATTTTTCTTCGGCTTCTAGCCTTTTTACGCAATCTGTGAGCAGCACGGCTTGCGGAGAAAAATTCCTATTCTGTAATATTAAGTCCCGTTAATTAGATTTATGAAATTCTTTTTAAAAGTAACTAGGCTACCTGGTCTTTGCACCATTAGCAAGATGACTCCCGAGATATCTTGAGGCATAAGTTGATTCAAAAGCTGGTTTAACAACCCAAAACGAATTTTAGGTTCTGGGTTTCACTTTCCTTCATTCTATCAAAGGCGACTATTCTGTAACTGTGATCAGTCCTGAAGTTCTCGGATAGTTTGGAGGGTAGATTTTCTTTAATGCCATTTTGTCGTTTCTTGTTTTCCACCTGTACCCATTCATCAACTTCCGTTGGGGTAGCGACAACAGTCGCGTCAAACAAACTGAGGGGTTCCGTAATGCTGTCGACGGATGAGGCAGTCAGGTTGTTTCTCCTGCTAGAAAAAAATCTAGCGTTGTGATTTGAACTTTCAGGTGTTCCTTGCCAACTACCATTTAGCGGGCGGGGAACAGAGGAAACTACCCTTATAGAGTCCATATTTAAAACAGACCACTTTGGAGTCGGCTTTTCCTCCCTCGATCCATGTAAATCAGCTGTTACCGAGCTTCATTTCGGCGGCTTCATATCAAATTAATTAAGCCAGACATTCACTGCTACAGTTGTTCTATTCTTCCGCCGAATGAATGAGCGTCGCATGGTTTTTGCTTACGTAGAGTTTTGGGGAAATAAGCAAACGGAATGACATTTCTAGAAAATACTTTTAGCAGTTCGACAAATCTAAAAAATTATTCGAGTGGAACTCTAATGTGAAAACACATATTCTGAAATGTGACTGTGATTAAAAATAAAGGAACAGAGAATAATCAACTAGAAACATGTTTTGGTAAAAAAACGAGAGTAAGTTTTGCTGACAAGCTGTTGATGGCCTACGAATTTGGATGACACAAAGTCTCCGTTTGCAGAAAAGAAGATTTATACAAAAGCTGTTTTACTGATTGATTCTCTTACATTCTTTACTGTTGTTTTTTAATGTGTGACGTCACGTACGTTGCTGCCGGGATCATAAGGGGATATCTCTTTGAGTGCATGTTTGCAGGACTATTAGAGGGATTGAAGGGTGATTGTGTAGACAAGATGCATACAATCGTGCACATTTTTGGCAGTGAAATGAAATATGACTTACGATGTTGAAGACAAATTCTACGTCGTTGGTTTGTAAACTGTGATAACGTAAACTGAAGCCACTAATGTATACGATCGTAAACGCCAGATGAATAAGATTGATGTGGTGAACATGGGTGCATCTTTGAGATACTGGTTCAAAACGTATTGTTATTATGTATAATGGGCAATAACTCATACAGGTTGCAGTGATCCGGTGGGATTCTAAATAAATAAATTTTGTCACATGTAGTTACATGGACGAATATATTGGTGTACTATACGTGTGATGATATAAAATTGATTATTGACAATGAACTTAAAACTTCGCTATCACGATAACACGATTCTTTGAGTAGATCGATGAGCCTGAGTATTGGACAAGAAGTAAGGTTTCTATTTCATGATAGACACAAACATGCAAAGGTTAGTATTATTTTAAATGACCCACAATAAAGAATCAAAATTACTCCCCAGGGAATGAGAATTTCAGAAAGCAAACTACACATCGAGTTACATTAATTTAATTGTTAAACACTGAAATTATACCAAAATCAAGATCTCTTAAAATTTACAGATCACTGACGCCTGAAATATTCTTTCGAGGTAGCGATAGAAATGAATATATAAAACTTGGATACCGAAAGTGCTACAGAAAATTCGAAAATTATTTGGCGACAAAAAACTACAGTCTGCTTTCCTATAGCGTTGGCAGTCTCCTTGAATACTTTACAACCAGCGATTACATAAATAGGATTTTGTTAGCAATTTATGCGATAGTGTAATACGATAACTGATTATACCAAAAATACGGAAAACCACAATAATACAGTTCACAATGCGCAATCGAGTTTCCCTGGTAAAAAACAACACATCGAATAGTCAAAATTATTAGTAGGTGTAACACCAGTACCTAGAATATCCTCATCATAATTAGATCAAATTTCTTTACGTGGGAATTCAGTCAATTTATACAAGTTTCCGGTAAATAATCAAGCAGCAACATCGATTGATCGCTACACGCCATAAAATTGGCTGAATCAAATAAACCTAATCGTCAGTATTTTGGCACCACACAATTACAACAACAAACAATTAAGTCAAAGATTTACAAAATTAAATAATATGGGTTTAGTGAATGTGTCCGAGAAATATAAGGATATGACAACACAAATCGTGGATGAAAGTTGATATGAAAAAGAACAGAAATGAAAGAGTAAATAAGTATGGTAAATTATGAGGCCGTATTCAAGGCACTCGTTATCACGATAGGTTCGTCTTACCAAGTAAATCTGTGAGAATACAAATTTATAGGGATTTAAACATTTCCTCACTTTTTTTTATCAGGACTTTGCGCGATGCTAACGATTTTATACTACATGATTCCTGAAAGCTATTTACATCAAAAAACAATATCCTTTCACAAAACGCAGTGGCAAACAGTCCACGGAGTATTAGAATATTTTCATCAAATGGTTGAACAGATTTGTAATTCATAATTTATTTAATTGCTGATCATGCCCTACCTGGGATTAAAGGCGAATGCTCGCTTCGTTTAACAAAATCCTGCAGAGCCATCAAGTTGCCAGCTAAATCGTCCAACAAAGCATTTTGCTCCTGGCAGTTTGACTATTGTGTTGATCAAGGGATATGAGTGAATTCACAAAAGTAGATTCGATTGAAACTGTGACATTCTATAAAGAATGGATTGGTAAATCAATCCACATAATAAATAGTTACATAAATCTTTGAGACTGATGCTGACTAACTATGGATTAAATTCCAAACAATTCTCTTAACTGTAGAGCACAGTCTCAGCGCAGCCAAAGTCGGAGCAAATAAGCTATTTAGCTTGATGAACTGTTTTTAAAACGTAAACTAACACTGTTGGTATACAAAATAAACAATCAATGCAGTCTATTAAACAGAAAAAAAGATATACAAAAATAACATACCAAACAGTAACCAGAGGACAGAAAAAATGAGTCAAAAAACGAATGTTGTCATACGAAGTCAAATGGAGCTAATGTGGTGGTGTGCGTTACACGTTATCGTTGGTGGGTTCATTTGTCAACCACACTCTAAACACATGATGGACCCAAAGGAAAGCAAAATTGATTGCAGATATTCGGATTCTCATTGAGACTGTGGCAGATATGCTGCTTGCATTAACCAATTATTCTTTTATACTTGATGTCTGCCTGATTCTGAATTCCAAATACAATACATTCATTTGTGCTCACCTACTTCTATTCGCTGAAAATTCCCACTTAGGAGACTGATATGCTATGTCTGACGATTGGCCCAATACAAGCTAACCCCAAACAAAGAGGAAAAACTAAATACCAATGTTGACCAGTCTCAGATGGTTATTATATTTCAGGCCCTCACTTATATGAATACAAGACCAGACCACGGAATTCTTGTTTATGAATAGAAAATGCTATGGTAACAAATCATGGTTTGAATAAAAGCTTAGAAACTGGGTATAAATAATATAGTAAAACCAAAATACATGATTACAATGAGATCAATATATATGAATAGAATGGCAGAAAAATACTTCGGAAATTATTACATCGTAGTTAATTTGTCTCTGATAACAGTCTATATGTATTATAAGCTTTCATGTTAGAATATTGGTTGACAGTGTATCATAATTTTTAAACAATCGGTCTGTAATATCATGGTATGTGCTAATGATGTCGACAGCTATAAGTAGTATGTATCATCGAATCGAAAGTGAAATGTCTGGTGGCAGGAGGTTAAGAAGATTGAAAGGAAGAGAGTGAGAAGAGAAAATGATTGGCGTGGAAACGAAAGAACAATTAGGTCTGAAAAAGTTGATTGAGATTTTTCAAATGAAGTATTTACTCTACCGTTATCAGATTTTACAATCATGTTGTGTAATTTGTGTGTTCGAATACGTTCGATTCTCCCTTGTGTTCCCGTTCACTAAAATATGATTTACTCTTCTTAGTTACTGAAATTTAACCATGTTCATTCCAAATAACTCAATACAAATATTATTTAAAAAGCCAATTAATCGGTATCATGCTTCAATACTCAATTGTCCACTTTACGTCACACAGATATGGCATGAAACTGTTCGAAACACCAAATTTTGGAGATAATCATGGTGTTTGCAGAATCACCGATTCCAGAACATACAATCAAAAACCAACCAACTACAGTAATCATCTAATTTCTTCATTTGATTGATAATTCTTACCGAATGTCTATTTCAGTATGTTTAATAGTGGAATTTATAAGTCGATCTAATCTAGACCGCCATTGGTAACTTCGAAGCACTGGGAGGCAGTTTCGTCCAGCATGGAATTCCTCAGTAGTGAGCATCCATGATTCCTCATGAGGAATTCGAACCCACGACCTCTGGTCTCGCTTACTCACGCTTAACCTCTAGACGACCGAGACGGCATCGAACGATGCTAATGTTTAACTTCAACCTATCCATGAACTTACACAAGGTAATTACCTGTCTCTACCCGTAAGAGATCGTACTCCACTGTCATGGCTTCGAATCAGAACTCTAGGAAATTCAACTTGAATGGTTGCGCAAGACCATAGGTCGATTGAAGTAGGATATTAACGTCGTTGGATGCTGAATGAGTTGTTTAGGGGTTAAGCGTTTGCGCACAACACCGAAGGTCCTGGGTTCGAGTCACACATGTGGGATCGTGGATGAGCACAGTTGAGAAACCCCATACTAGGACTAAACGGCCTTCCAATGTTTCGAGGTTTTCAATGGCGGTTTAGCTTAGATTGACTCATGAATTCAACTATTAAAATTGCTACAATCTCCACAAAATCATTCTGATACTTCAGTATATACAATGAAAAATCAACCAACTAGTGTAATCATCTCATTTCTTTATTTATTCACTTTCAGTTTAAGAATCTCTAACGTATGAAATCAATAAAAGTGAACATTGGTCATTCCATTCCTGTTGTCGTTCTTCGTATATGGAATGTAAACTATGAAATATTAATTAATAACGATGATGTTTAGAGTTCATCAGATGTTGTTGAAGCTGTATAAAAAGCTATAGAAGAAGGTTATCATTATCATCTAGATTGTGTTTATATTTATATAAATGAAATTGAAGTTAGTATAACCTTAAAAGATTCAATGAAATTTTAGAAATTGAACAGAGATGAAATATTGATCACTTAAATCCAGTCAGCTAGAATTGCGTTCTAATTCTAACGGACGCGTAGAGAAAAAAAACGTGCAACCTTAATGTGCATGATACTGTTTTGTTTAATTAGTAGTATCTTTGTAGTATTGAGTGCTTCAACCAACCTAGATATGTTTATTTAAAATGTTTATATTTCATTCAAATTATGAACTGATGTAAATTAGACCACTATTGAGAACGTAGAAGTACTGAAAGATTCTCACATCCTTGTATATATTGTCTATATTTATATAGTTGCTGACATCAACTTGCTTTCTGCTCTGCATATTTTTTTCTATTCAACACATTTTACATTTAGATTTTTCTATGTTAACCTCATTAAATATCCTAAAGCTTTTCTAGTTCTCTGCTAACATATACAAGTGATACCATTTCATAAAAATAAGAATGCGAAATATTTTTTAGTTTATATCCTTTTATATGAAGGTCGTTTATGAGTATCAAGCTACTCTGCATTCTAATTTGTACATATTTTATCTATTATAATTCTATTTTCAACTTTTTAAAGATTTTGTACAGCTTCAACAACTACATCTGATGAACTCTAAACAACAGTGTTCGGCTGCAATTAAACGCGACTCGATTTCGTAAACGTGGCCATCTGCTTAGCGACCAATAAGAATGAGGTGGGAATTATTATATCCGCCATCTCTGTAAGCAATGGAGGTCGGCTTTCCTCGTTCTGTTTTTTCAGCTATCTCTTTTGTGTAGCTACATAATTTAATGTTTCAGTGTGCTAAAATGCCGCAGTTAGTGTAATATTCTAAATGCCACATGTTCGTTCCTAACTGTCATTTATGTTGTCGGGCGGAATGGAAAGAAACAGTCTCTAGTTTGTTATTTTCTTCAGCATTATGGATCACCCTACTCCATCAACGAATCAAACCAATACTGAGCGTCCAGTAGTTGTGGCTACTAGTGATGTTTTCGAAAGCAATGTATTTAAATAAATACTGGATGAATAGGAAAAGAAATTGGACCGCAGCTCTCAACAGTGACGTTGTTACCTCGGGTAACAATATAAATAACCGTGTTGAAAGAGCACACAGACAATTAAAGCGAAAGTTATGTAGCGGAGATGCATTGATTAAATGTATTTGCAAAACATACTACATGGCAAAGGGAATTAAGCAAACGCAGGTCACTACAATCGAGCTTGCACTGTAGTCACAAACGTAGAGTTGTTGCTCCAGATTACTTAATACCTCTTCTAGGGAAGCTAACTACCTATGTCAGGTTTATAATCCTTAAAGGCTATAATAGAAGAGGGCTAATGTATACTGAAAACTGTCTGTCATCATTAGTATTCTTGGTCGATGGCCGTTACTGTCCTATAGTGGATATAAACGATGGCACTTGCACCTGCCTTGTATTCCACACGTATCGAATTCCATGTAAGCACATGGTATTTACTCATTTACCAATGCCAGAGTTTACAGGTATGTTATATTTATCTTCGCATAATGAAACAGTTGATTTAGTTTTGAAGCTATGTGGGAGATTCAGATCAGACTATCCTAGCTATTCCGTCCCCAGACTATACGAAAAGAAACAGACTGTATTGTATTTTTTGTAGTAAAATCAACAGTCACCGCACTGTTGGGATTGACGACCGCCGAGGACACAATAAGCCGGGCCATAAATATGGTTGATGAAGTGATACGCAATAGGCGTCTGCCTAGAGCTTCCGAACATGGTAAGTACACTGGTTCTTTGGAAATAGAAATCAAAGTCTTTCGAAACACATCTATTAAGCTAATACCCGTATTCTCTATTTCAGGTAATTAATGAACACAAGTCGCGTCATGTGCATCTGTTGTGTTGCCAGTTTTTGTTAGCGGCCTTATATTCAGTGAAAAGACTTTTTCCTATGTTGTCGATAAATGGGTTGAAGCAACACAGCAGATGCACATGACGCGACTTGTGTTAATCGCACAAATGCAAGCTCCGAATATTTATTAGGAGTATAAGTGTTAAGAAGAGAGTCTGATGCTAATAACTGTTCAAATAATGAGCTCCCAAGCCACTGATGAGATGTAAAGCTCTTTTAGCAACAATGATAATTTACTTTCCTCACAATACCTGTGGGGTAAGTTCAAAAGCATCCAATCTTCGACAGATTGAAACCCGTGTGCAAACTATCAACAAACGACATGAATGAGACATCTTCATATAACATGTATTGCTAGACACTGCTTACCCCGACACAATGCCAAATAGCATATGAGTAATATGGAAAAGTAAGGTCCACCTAATGAAAGTATGACACCAAGCATTAAGTGTTGAAGTGACCTGTCTTTTAGTGTGTATGCTTTTCGATTCCAATTCATACAGTAATGCTAACAAGTAACTGTAAACCTTAAATGATATGCCTGTGCATAAATCGTAGTTTTAAAAATTTCTTACCATACTTTGAATTCCAAATATAGTATTACCAATACTTTTTAATCCCCCGGCCCCACGTGTTCCTTTTCGAAACACATACTCAACGTCTAGTTAGTCACCAACATTAATACCGTCATTATGATTTGTTTGCTTCTAATCTCACGCCCCAATTTCCGACCACTAGACATGCTCTCTTTATCCATACAATATACATTCTATCCTCCCACATGGACTTACCATTAGGACGGTGTAATCAACTAAATTAATTTCAAAGCAACAATCATTTGGTAAAATCAACAGCACAGTTGCAAAATCCAGACGTCGAAACCTTTCATTTCACCACGCGTACAAAGATATTAAAAATGATGTACACTACAAGTCTTCGAGATTCCACGTTCTTCATAATACTTCGGTCAGAAATGCCATGATACACTCACTACAAAGTATACGCTTTAAATCGTTGACTACATCAATTTACACATATGACATCTCCAAACACACTCAAATGTTGTACCGCATATACACAAATCAAATTTGATGACGCTGAAAGGATTGTTAATGTTACAAAATAATAATTGTCACTAGTGGGGAAAAATGATTATTTGTCTAAACGTAATAATGTAGAATCACTAACAGCTGTGCATTACTTCGAGTTCGTAACTCTCAAATTAGTACGAGGCACCAAATATATATGCGACTCAAAAATCATATGTCACGGTTGGATCACTGCTCAGGTGGCCAAATCGAGGCAGGTGCCTTTCTTCGAGGGCTACGACCTGAGCCTTTGACCTAAAGGTCTAATCCACAAGACAGTTGAGCAACGTTGGGAGATGCAGTCCCATGGTAGCCGGTGACCAACAATAGGTTCATACGCCATTTGTTTCATCAGGATACTGGAGTCAATATGGAGCATTGATTTGGAATCAGGGTTTTCCAACTCCCCTAGGTGGATTCTCCTTTACAGCCAATGCGGTTAAAACGCCGGACATTCGCTTTTCATTCTCTCAATTCCATAAGGAAAACGCTCGCAACGAGAATGCAGTGAGTAGGACTTCTCTGACAGCGGCCATACACACGTGACCACGTGAGGGCACTTCAAGAGAGAACTCTCCCCCATCCTCGGCCGTAGCAGGGCATAAATTAAATGCTCAACAAAACCTCTAAAAAATGTGATGTGTAATACATCAGGTTAAAAGATTGATTGGATCGAATCAGATTTTATTTAGTGATGAAACTTAGCACACCTGAGACAATTTTCTAAAAGCATAATGAGATTAAATCTTACAGTTCAATTATGTTCCATCTATGAATATTCAATAAGCGTCTTTGAATGGATATTCCGAATGACCAGCCATTCTAGAAAAAAGATGACGCCAAATATTTATTTTCTTAACTAACCAGAAAATCCTGATTCATTATAGTCACTTTAAACTATTTCATAAGATATGACAAAAAGTATCCTAATGAAATCTTTTTAGCACAATTATAAACGACTATTACAGGATACAAAAGTAAGCAAACTATTAAAACTTTACCAAGTCTGTGTTTAGCCCTTAGAAAGAGGTCAGAAATCTTTTAAAAGACTTCCTTTTTTATAAAAACCACAGTCAGTGAAAGTAGAGGGAATGATGACGAAGAATTGTTGTATAATCTTATCTTTCTTTGTTTTTACTTCTCTATTTAAGGAAAAGGAATGACAGTGGAAATAACAGAAAGTAAAGTGATGGTAGGATGCGATTATGATTATGTAGTTTCTGATATTCCAATTGTAGCACTCCCTGGAACCCTAACATACAATACGTCAAGAAAACTTTCACGAACATCTAAACTTTTAGTGAATTCACCCAACCACTCCATCAAATCCCCAATACAACTCAATCAGATTAAGGACATTCAAATCAACAATGACGAGCTGATGATATCCTTCGATGTGACAGCCTTATTCACCTCAATTAAACCAAGCTTAGCAAACGAAACTCTATTTCTGCTTATCACCAACGACACAAAGCTTGAAAGTCAAAGTTTACTAGAACTCATCGATTTATGCTTAACAACATATTTTCAATTCAACAACAAAATCTACGAACAAACGAAAGGGGCACCGATGGGATCATCAATATCAGGACTTATCACAGAAGCAGTGATTCAGAGACTAGAAGACAAAAATTTGGATTCGTTACGTGGACAACAAATTCGTCATCGTCATAAAGGACGAGCTGGAAAACACCTACAGGCTGGTCAACAACGTCTTCGATGACATCAAGTTCACAATGGAACAGAAGTCAAACGACAAACTATCATTCTTGGATGTATTAATCCCCAGAACCGACAATAGAAAACTGAAAACTCAAGTATATCGGAAGCTGACCAACATAGATCAAATTATCAATAACATTAGCAACAGCCCAAGAGTTCACAAAATCAACTGCCTACAGACTTTGTTCAAGAGGTCGAGGACACACCGCATCACACTTGCAGCACGGGAAAATGAAGAAAAATATCTGAAGACCGTTGTTCAAAAGAACGGCTACCCAATCAACTTCATTATCAGAAACAACGTCAAGTACAGAAATCAACAAATGGATCACCCTACCATACATAAAAGGCATATCAGAAACTACAACAAGACTGCTGAAACCCTTCGGAATAGGTGTTGCACACAAACCAACAAAATCGCTACAATCAATCCTATGCAAATTAAAAGATGAAATGACAAAAGAAAACAAACCAAACATCATCTACAAAATAAATTGTGCCAACTGCGGAAAAAACTACATCGGACAAAGCGGACGCTCTCTTTATTCTCTTTTGCATGAACATCAATTAGCAGTCAAACGTCATGATACTTCCTCACTTATATCAGTGTACATGGACAACTGCGGACACACATTCAACTGGGAAAATGTAGAGATTTTTGATATAGGCAATTTCGAAACACCAGAGAATTTTTATAAACTTGGCACTCAGGTCAATCAGCAATCAACAAGCACACTGAAATCGATCCAATCTATCAACCAATCAGGAAAATTATGGACAAACATAGGACTGAAATTCAAACCAATGGGAAATACAACCAAAAGAAGAGGTGAACAACGACAGGTTTAATGTCAAGAAAAACTAATCAGCATCGAGGTCTACAGGAAGAGTTGTGAATCACATGTTGAGAAATCCGGACATTTCACTTCCATCTGAAGTTGTGTTCATGATGTCGTTCAAAAGAACGACGAAATGTCCATGACCAAACCATCCGGCTCAGAAAAAAACTCCATCTAAATCAGTTGTATTGATATGAAATAATTTCTGAATAAAGAGCACAGAATTAATATTTAGATGTCAGGCAGTAAATAACAAATTTACTGACAACAACGACTAAAAATAATCTAAATTTAAATTTTAAAATATGAAGTCTTACAAATATTTGAATGCCAGCAACATGAACTTACTTCAACAATTTGAATTGACGTTCATTTAAACCTTTCGTATTTAATTCATGCATTTCCTCTTTCGAAAGTTGGAAATCAAATACCTCCAATGAATAACAAAATGAAGAAAGTTATCTATCTATCTAAACAGTAAGAAGAACAAACTACACTGCATAATAAGATGTTTAAGTAAACTTCAACAACTTAGTCACTTTAAGAACAATTAAGTTACATATCCAATCAAACTGTCTCTTTTATTTAAAGAATTCAAATAATAGTTATTTCACGACCGTTGTTGCTACCTTGACGTGGTGTTCGGGCCTGCCTATCGTGGTGAACCAATCAGGCTATACTGGCTAGAACAATCGTTCCTTAAGATCTTACCATGCCAGACAGATCGGTTGAAGAACGGTAAGATTAAAAGCAGTAAATCCAAAGTTCGAGGACGACATCGTACTGCTGACTGTACACAGGTGTGGTAGCAGTAAGGTGTTTCCTTCGGGCAACCAGTATGTCAGTGATGCTGCCTTCCCAGAAGGAGGGGTGTGGTTAGAAAAGGTTGACCCCAAAAATACATACCTCGCTTTATCCCACAGATATCCGTCTCCATTGGTAAGGTCTCAACAAATATGGAGCGAACACGAAAATTACGCAAAAAAGGTCGTGTGTGATAGACCTCAAGAGGTTTTTCCTTGAGCACTGCGGTCAGGCTCTGAGGTCACTAAGACCACCTCTAATCCTATTTCCATTCCAGGTACCTTCAAAAGAACTCTTCCACGGTGTGGGCAGCCACCTGCATACCTCTAACAGCACTCAAGGCCACTGTATTCATAACCAGCCGAGTATTGTCATTAGATCATAAATGAACAGGTATACAACAATAACACTGATAAATGAACCGGATTATCATTGAATAGAATAGCGACTCTATACAAAAATCACGTTCTCTGAGATAGGTTCCAAAATGAGAATTTAATACGTGAAAATCTTTGGATTGCGCTTCTCTCCCTCTAAATACAAGTTGTTGCTTCAGGACTGGTTTGCGTTAATACCTGAATTAAGGATAGTGAGTGAAGTAGTCGAACGCGTTGACAACTTCACTTACCTTGGAAATCTATTCAGCCCCAATGGGTTGGTGTCTGACGAAATCTCAGCACGGATTCGAAAAGCTCGCTTGGCTTTTGCCAACTTACGTCACCTATGACGAAGGCGAGGTATCCGTCTATCCATTAAAGGACGAGTATACTGCACGGCAGTTCGTTCTGTTTTAATTTACGGCAGCGAAACATGGCCCTTAAGAGTAGAAGACACTCGTAAGCTACTAATAACTGACCACAGATGTCTTAGAAATATTGCTCACATCTGGTGGGATCACCGGGTAAGTAATAGTGAGGTTAGACGCATGATATTAGGGATTGATGATAAATCAGTTGATGAGGTTGTGAATCTTCATCGACTGAGACGGTTGGGCCACGTGTTACATATGCCTGAACACCGATTACCATGACGTGCAATGCTGACTAGTGTTGCCGATGGTTGGAAGAAAGTTAGGGGCGGCCAAACCAAAACGTGGCATCAGTGCTTGAAGTCACTAACTTCTAGTCTGAGCCATGTTGGGAGATGCAGACTACTTGGTTGGAGTCCGCGTGACTATCGTAACCAATAGTTGGAGACTGGGTAAAATGGCTCAGAATCGATCACAATGGCGTAAATGTATACACTCTGTGTCTTCCCTTAAACTAAAAAATTAAAATCGCTTCATATCTTTCTTTCTACGAACTAATTCTTTCTTCCTGTACTATATCCTTATTGCAATCTTTCTTTTATATATTACAACTACTGAATTAAATGCTTCTATAAATCCGGTGTTCATCTTGTTGTGTTAATGAGATATGGCAACTTGGACCGATGCATATATGTGCCTGGTCCTACGTTGTAGCTGATTGACTGACTGACTTGAATTTATTTCATCAAAACACTCAGTAGTAAATATAGAAAAACTCTAAATACTATTGGGAAGTTAAGTGTGGACATTAAAACGAACCGAATCGCGACAAGAAAAATTGATGGTATAATTGTAAATATTATGTTACTAGATTTCAAATTGTTAGTCTTTGAAAATGGAACAACAGTATCTCAATGCTCAGTACAAAAATCCTCACAATTTTTACAATCATGAATGTAGCCTAACCTGAAAAACCATCTAATTCGTGAATGAAAATGAAACAACACAGTCGTAATTTGATTGATGCTAGAAATGTTAGCTACTCAGTTCACATGAAACATCAAATTTTAAAAGTAGGTCATAGAAAGAATGTGGAGTTGACTAAAACCATTAATTGATAAATTTATTGTATGTTGTCTCTAAAAATATCAGGAAAACAATCAACTTATATTCCAGATCATAAAAGTTAAACGCTTATAGATACAGGCTTATGTTTAGGACATTCAATAAATGTGAGTTTTAGGAGAGATTTCATAATAATAGTAATAATAAAATAATAAAATTACATCTACATAAACTATCATACCCGAAAGTTTTCTTCAATTCGTTTTGGTGTTACGGACTTTGGAACCACTATCAAGTTTCTTTGAATTAAATAACGTAAGAGAACTTGTGCCGGTGTTTTACCGTGATGTTTAGCAATTTGTAACACCCAAGGTTCCATGAGTAAATCAACCCTTCCTCTAGAAAATAGAAAATCATATTTTAATACATCACAAAACAAGAGTGAGCAAATACATAAGACTAAAGAAAATACGTGTCCCAAAATGCCCAGATACGGCGGAGGATGGGGAGAGTCCGCTCTCCTTTCGAAATGCTTCACATGACCATACATATAGAGCCACTGACAGGAAAACCCTACTCACTGCCGTCTGGCAGCGAGGGTGTGGTTTATGGAACTGAGAGGACGAAATGCGAATGTCTGGCGCTTTCGTTGGTACGTATGGAGGATTCACCTAGGAGTTGGAAAACCCTGATTTCAAACCAATGATACATATTGACTCCAGGATCCTGATGAAACAAATGGCGTATGAACCTATTGTTGGTCACCGGCTACCATGGGACTGCATCTCCCAACGTTGCTCAACTGTCCTGTGGATTAGACCTTTAGATCAAAGGCTCAGGTCGTAGCCCTCGAAGAAAGGCACCTGCCTCGATTTGGCCACCTGGGCAGTGATCCAACCCTCACATAAATCAATGATGACTACTACTGGAAAAATAACATGCTTCAATGCTCACTCAGAAAAATCTTATTAACAATCATTTGGCAACATTCGTTTTTATTTTTTTGATACCACGCCACCTATATATCCCCCTTTATTTGCACTATGCGTATCTTATTTTTCAACTTATACAGCAGATCGCCTATGGTGGAAACCCTTTCCTATCTAAACGATCTCAAGTCATTGACTGGTCGAAAGTTGAATGTTAAAACCGACTACGAATACTGAAACGGTCTTTCTGAAAACACGAGTACCATTCAAACTGGCCACCTTCAATGTTTTCACGCTAATGTAGATCGGACAACACAGAGGGTCGGTTATGTTTTCAAAAAGTCTCAATATCGATGTCTGTTGTCTATTTGAGACCCGTATACAGGACTCTAATGAAGTACTACAGATTCGCTCTCAATCTGTTGCTTCAAAAAGCTTGTTTCAAGTGCGTTTATCCGAGGACCTTTTGGTATATTTATCTGGATTTGCTGACGTTGGTATCGCACTAAGCGCTAGAGCTGGGGTAGCACTGACCGATAGGATCTCGATTCACAGTCAGCTATGTGCTGTGAGATATATGCTATGTGATCATCCCCTTGTTTTTGAGCTAATCTTACTCTACGTTTCAGTGGCCTACAAATTCGTCGTCTTAAATCGATGTCAGTAAATTGGTTGCAGCTTCTGTTGCAACTCAATATCGAACCAAGTTAGGTTTAAGGCTAACTGTCACCCCACCGAAAAATATAGATGAGCATTGGCTGCAGTTGTATGACGCCATGAAAATGATAAGGTTGCTTGACGCTTCGCGAAACGTCCCGCTTATAAGCACTGGGATTCTTCAGGCTCCTTACAACTCATCGAAGCCCGTCGGTCTACTCCGTGTGACCGTGAGTTTGACCACAAACAACAATTGTTACGTAATTAAATCGGGCAAAGCTTGCGTAAGGACCGAGAAGCCTGGTGGTCAGAGCGTGCTAATGAGCTGGAAGCAGCAGCTGGATCTGGTAACTACCTGTTGTGGATGCGGAGGAATAGACCAATAATTATCATGTTAAGTTCAATGGTGTCCTTGGACTTTAAATGGACATTTCCTATTGGTCGATATCTGTTCACTTGTTGAGTATTGTACAAAATGTTGTTTTCTATTTTTATGGTACGATGTGGTATGCTTGGTTAGTATATAAATAGAGTATGTTTGAAATATAATGATTCATATCTCAGAGGTTGTGATTTGTGTTCTGGACTCAACTGGCTGGGCTAGACAGGGAAGCAGGACCAATCAGAACTGTAGGCCGTTCGTGCGTGTTTTACGTGTCACTGATTCGATCTATAATATACTGCTCTCTAATCTTTTCAGTCACGGACACGACAATTGGCACGGGGTAAAAATCGACCCACGTTTGAAGTCACAACACTACCAGAAGCTCTTCCAACTCATCCGAGCCACTGGCAGCAAGAAGCCTCGTGTGAGCGAAACAATCTGTGAGGATGATGGGATGCCAATCACCGACATCCATCGACGTCTTGGACGATGGGCAGAATTCTTCGAAAGGCAGTTCAACTGGCCTGCTGCTCCTGCAACATCGGTCAGACTGTCCTGCCTTCCATGGCTGGTGACGACTGATCCACCAAACGAGGCGAAAATCCGCAAGGAACTCCAACTCTTAAAACGCTACAAATCACCGGGCCCAGATGACTTACCTCCGTCTCTTTTCAAAGATGGTGGTGACTTTCCGGCTAAGGAACTGACGACGTTGTTTACAAAGGTCTGGGAGCTAGAGAGTGTACCAACGTTACGGAATAAGTTGATAGTTGTCCCTATCTTTAAAAAGGGTTTATGTCGTTTCTGCAAAAACGATCGGGGGATAAGTCTACTTCCGATTCCGTCCAAGCTATTGGCTTCCGTCATACTTCGTAGGTTGTTCAAAATCCGAGAATGATTGGCTCACGAGGAGCAGGCTGGTTTTCGTTCTGGTCAAGGATGTATTGATCACCAAATGTCAGAAGTCATACCTATCACAGACCAACAATTTTAGTGTTCCTTGATATTAGGGCCGCCTTCGAAACGTGAGTGAAGGCATACAACCACCTCGCTCCACTATCTCAACCCAGAAGTAAAGTTAGGTAGGGTTGCCCAATCGCATCATTTCTCTTCAACTTCGCCATTGATGACATTCTGGAAACAGCTCTGAAGGATATATGTAATGGTGGTGTGGATCTGTTGGCTGCAGAAAAACTTTTCGACCTTGAGTGTGCGGATGATATTGTCTTACTGTGCGGTAATACCCACGCCATGCAATCCGCACTTAATCAGTTGGCAATTAGCGTCTGTAAATATGGTACATGCTTCGCACGAAGTGCAAGGTACTTTTACAAGACTGACATGAACCTGAACTCACTCGGTATTGAGCAGAAGTTCGTGTATCTTGGTAGCTGCGTAAGTACTGATGTTGGAGTCAGTGATCAGATCAATTCATGTACAGTGGGGGCCAGAGCGGTTTATGACAATCTCGACCATCTTTGACACCGTGATATTAGTCTGGCTGTAAAAGGCCGGAACTTCAAAGCGTCGGTGAGAGTAGTTTTGCTTTGGGGTTGTGAGACCTGATCTCTCCAAGTTAAGGATGTCAGACGACTCTGTGTTCGATCAGCGTTGCGTTCGAATGATTGCTGAGATTGTTAGGGGCGGCCAAACCAAAACGTGGCATCAGTGCTTGAAGTCACTAACTTCTAGTCTGAGCCATGTTGGGAGATGCAGACTACTTGGTTGGAGTCCGCGTGACTATCGTAACCAATAGTTGGAGACTGGGTAAAATGGCTCAGAATCGATCACAATGGCGTAAATGTATACACTCTGTGTCTTCCCTTAAACTAAAAAATTAAAATCGCTTCATATCTTTCTTTCTACGAACTAATTCTTTCTTCCTGTACTATATCCTTATTGCAATCTTTCTTTTATATATTACAACTACTGAATTAAATGCTTCTATAAATCCGGTGTTCATCTTGTTGTGTTAATGAGATATGGCAACTTGGACCGATGCATATATGTGCCTGGTCCTACGTTGTAACCGACTGACTGATTGCTGATATCCAGTGGCAACATTATGTCGGTAATGCAGGGGTACGGCATCGTGTGTTCGGACACAGCGACGATAATTCACTTGGCGTCACTATCTTAAAACATCGATTTCGGTGGCTTGGATATGTTCTACGAATGTCGTCCCAGAGAATTCCACGTCGTGCACTATTTGCTGACGATGAGACCGGTTGGAAAAGGCGGAGCTGGTCGGTGTATGAAGGAAAGCTGTAAAGGACTTGCTTATGCTGGTTCTTCACCACCCTCTGGTTGGGGTCCTAGAGATGGTGAATAGAGACTTTGTCAGACACGGCTCAGAATAGAAGCCAGTGGCGATCTTGTTGTGACTTTCTTCTACTTTCTTCATAAAAAACAACGTAACTTATTTAACTTAAAAAATTCTTTCTGGTTGTATTATTCCCAACTGAAATGTTTTTCCGATTATTGCTATTATTACTTCACTCTCATACACTAATTTCTGTTCGTTGTTCTTTTTACTATACGTAATTTACATTCACTATCTCTTCACAGCCTCATTGTTATTATGTGGAGCATATGTATTCGGTTCCCCCTTGTACCAATATTCATAAATTGAAATAAGTAAATAAATTTCATGCTACGTAAATATTATAAGATGAAATAAGGAAAAAAGCATTTAGACTTAACATTAAACATGGTTAAAAAAAGACAATTAACTCACGGTGAAGCAGCAGGTGAACCAAGCGGAGCATAAGCAGTTACAGTTAAACCAACCGACTGCGCATATTCAACTAATTGTGTGTTAGGAAAATTAGCATGAATTTCAATTTGTAAATTGGATGGTTTAATACGGCAATGTTTAAGAATATTTTCAATCTGACGCTTGTTGAAATTTGATAAACCAATAGATCTGACTAAACCATCATCAACCAGTTTTTCCATTTCCTTCAATAAATAGAAACAAGTATATACATGTATTTTAATAAATCAAACTGGTTTGAGCTTCAGCCATAGGTCACTTTTTAGACATGAAGGCAAGTTATGTAAGAAATTAGGCTTGAAAAGTTACAATTCACAACCTTTCAGAAAAGATCCTTACATTTCATATGATGCCTAACTAGTGTTTTGTCCTACGAAACTAACTTATTAAATACGACCTAGTGAAATATCATTTAAGCATTATTATTATTAATGGCTTTATTTAATATTATATTTTTGGCCTAATATAGAATTCTCAGCACAAAGTATTTCAACAAGTTTCCATTTCCTACTTCTTGGTAGATCCTGACATTAAATATTGAGTGATTGCCAGTCAGAAGTTAGCAGTCCAGGAATCGACATCTGAATAATGTACATTATTTTTGCCGTATCTTGCCAGCAACTATGATGTCTCTGACTGGGCTTTTATGTAACTGAATATGTTGTGCAATTTATAGTTATGATGATGTGTTAAAACAAACAAAAACAGATCATTTTAATAGTTGAGATCATATATCAATAGGGTGAAACGGCAGTCCAGTGCTTCCAGGTTTTCCACGGTGGTCTAGCTTCAATCGACTCATGATCTCAACTACTGAAATTACTACAATCTCCACAAAACCCCTTCTGATACTAAAAACAGATAACTTATTGAAATATCTGGATGGCAAGGACAGGTAGTCCAGATGTCCAGGCAGGCAGCCAAGGAAAGTATAGAGCAACAAAGTATGTTCGCAAGTATTAATACAAACATATTACGTAAGTAGTGCAAATTAGCAGCAATTGATACGAATTACACATGAACTAAAGATGAATAAACAAACACCCAATTCAGTACGCAAAGTACCACAAATACAGTATACCAAAAAGAACGGAATAAGAATAACATGTCCTAAGCACTGGAACAGATATTTAGTCAAAGCGCTGCTAAACTGCTTTATTAGTTTCAATAATAAGCTATCAAAGGCTCTCGAATTGGATGTAAACATGGCTTTCCCTTTACGACATATTTTAATACTATAGTCTTAAGGATTATATACCTTGATAAACCCCGAAACGTGGATCAGTGGTGTTCAAAGTAACTAAGACTTGCTGAAAATTATAGATTTATGTACGCAAGATATCTAAAACGAGAGTACACGATTATAAACCACCTAACAAAGGATTTCACCAAATAAAAAAGCCGTGAAATCAAAATTTTCCAGATACTTTTAAACTTGAGTACTTTACGGCGCTCGATGCTACATTACTCCCCAAGAATAACTTTTCACAAATGTCCAAAATCTACGAACTAGGCTACTCAATCGATGAGTAATTATTTATTTTACAGTAGGCCATACGGTATAAAGTATTGAACTACAAATCACACAATAAACCAAACTACACTTACCATAAACCTTTCAGAAAGTCATAGGCTAATCAGTTAATAATTGACGCTTAATTAGTGGATTATAAGTAACGTAAAATCTGAAACACATGAGGATCCATCCAGGTGGTTTGACATTACATCAACTACTGAAAGCAGTACAGATTCGCCCTCGGACGAAAGTAAGACAAAAATGGATAAGTCTATTCTCCGATTACCTTCTGTAACCTAATGGGATATTATTTCTCGTGAACTAATCACAACCTCGAAGATTAAGTCACTTTCAAATTTTTATAGAAATAGTATGTTCATGAAGAAATAACTAAAAGTTATAAACGTTCGAAGTAACATTATGAAGCAAACTTGATCCGGTTATTAATGAGTTTGTAGGTGTCATTACCAAGCTTTGATTTGATAATTTCGAATAAATTGAGCATTGGGTTGATTGTTATAAATAAAAATAATATATTTGTAATATCCCAATGAGTAGAAAATTGGATTTTCTGACGTTTCATGGCTTAGTATAAGCCACTTCTTCAGAGAATAAATAACCAAATTAAATTAATCCAAGTTTAAATAGTACAACGGATTAATTTAATTTGGTTATTTATTCTCTGAAGAAGTGACTTATACTAAGCCACGAAACGTCAGAAAATCCAATTTTCTACTCATTGGGATATTACAAATATATTATTTTTATTTATGAAGCAAACGTCTAGGGAATTTCTGCCAGATACTTTAAGTGAGGAATAGGGAACATCGTGAGACTCTTCTTTTCAGAAATTGAGTCCACGTTAAAGCACTCCACCAAAGTTACTAAAATATAGAGACTACGCAAATCAGTATACAATTCAGGCACTACAAAAAAGAAATTCGACAGCCCACAGCAAATAACAAACATACACTAATACTAACACTGTGATTATGCAGTTAGCGTTACGCTTCCCAGTGAAACAAAATAAAAATACATGAATTTTTAGTACCAACAAACCTTCCAAGTTTCTTCATGTGGTACTTCATCTAAACAGAAATTTCCGTTCGAATCAGTGGGAAAAAGAGATTCACCATACTATAAAATAAGGTCAAGAAATTGCACAAACTTTACTTGGAATGGAACAGGCCAGTGAATTAAGTACAAATCAAGATATTTAAGACGCAAATTCATCAAAGTTTCTTCGCACGCTTTCCTGACATGCTCAGGGCGGAAGAAAGTATTCCACAGCTAGAAATAATTTAGATAAACATTAAATGAATAATTGCCTTTGAAGTAACAAAAACATCGTCTCTGTTTAATTTTAGACTCTTTAATGCACCTTCCAGTGCTTCACCTATTTCTGCTTCATTTCTGTAGACATGAGCACAGTCCACATGTCGATAACCGACTTCTAGAGCTTTCTTCACGGCCACCCCAACTTCACCTGATGGACTCTACAAAGTGTATAATATTAAAACTTTTTCTTGCGAACATTCCATGTTCCGAGACCAATGATTGGAATTGAACGACCATTATTCATTTTTAAAGATTCCATGATTACACTGGAAAATAAAATAATTATACTGACATTTGTTACTGTTACATTATACTAATAAAAACGGCGGAAAACAAAATTTAACATTATGAAAGCCTTAGACATATGAAGGGTAGGTTTAGTCTATAGACTCCCAAATCAATGTGAAACATCTTTATCAATGAAGAAGGGGCTGAAAAATCTCCGCTTATATACACTAGGATAACTGCTTCTATACAAAAGCAGGTCCCCAATAAACCCCGACTACTTAATGATAAGGATGACAACGGATTACTAGAATATAGATTTTTCATTGACCTAGGTGACCTTTCCATATTTACGTTAATAAATGTTCATCTTGCTTACCCACACATTATTAATTTGAACTAGAAAGCGAATTTCAAGTATTTATAGGCCTAAGACTAGTCTGCAACTGTCAAAAAGTAGGTAGTTACTATGGCAATCAAGTGGCTTGTCAGTGACGAACTATCCATGTATCCTGCTAACTTGATGGATATGGACGTGAAGAACGGTGCTCAACTATATGACGAGTGGTTGATCACTAAGACTGAGGTTATTCACTACTGTGGTAAAAAACATACATGTGTTTTCTATAGACGGCGTACAGACCGCCAAGAACTTAACGATATCGTTCAGAAAATTCTCCGGCTACAATAATCCTGTTAATGTTTTGCAGAGACAGAAACGGAAACAAGAGTACCTGCATAATTTCGTTGATAGTGATAATGCTGAAATGCAGGCTGGAAACAGTTGCGTCCAGTAACCGGGTATCACGTCGTCGGACACACAAATACCACTGAATGCCAAGTTGGAACGTCATATCTGTCAATGTTTAAGTTCAACGAAAGTAGCCTTCAACTTACGCGTCAGCAACTGTTGACTGCAGGATCGCGGCTTAGTAATATTTGCAATTTAAATCAGTTCTGAAATTGTGAAACTACACAGTGATTTGCATAACATGACACCAGCAATATTAGGCTTGAGTGTAACGGTCTAAGTCTGATGCACGTAATAATCCATCGAGATTCAGTGTTGGATTATTACGTTAATATTTTCCTTCCTCAACCAGAAGTAAGGACCATGAATCCATGTCTTCAGAAAAGCACGAGGAACAAATTTGTAGGTTCACTAATATTTTTATCATTATCTAACATTACAAATGCCCGAGCTTCCAATTTCAGGGAAGCCGCTATAGCAAACTTTGGGGAAACGACAATAAAACCCCGAAATTTCCCCAGACATGAATAATTTCCCCAATATCCCCCCTTTAACCTTGGTGAAGGTCATTTGACTTTGTGGGTTCCCCCAAAATACCCCTAAACTTTCCCAAAGTCGAGAGATTGGGAGGGCGATGGTATTGTGATTGCCAGATAATAACCGCATGACTTCCATGCGCTAAATCTTGTTATGAAACCCAAGGTAGTTAGCGACTTTATATTACTTGGCACTAAGGCTAGAACAGCCCTTCAGAACTGCAGGCTTTACGGCGGCATACGAAACAAAGCTGGCTTTTTTCTTGATCGTAAAGCCATTATGGCGCGAAATGAGAGATAAACTTCAAAAGCGTCATTGAAGAAGGAAAGGTAGCGTAAGTTATAATTTGAAATGACAACCTACTGCTACCGTCTAGGTTTAGCGTTGTGTTAACAAACATCACTGTGCGGTTTGACTTTATCAGTTGTTAGAAATAAAGATATATTGAAGTGTGACATTAATATAAGGCTTGGAACTCTACAACCGTGATTGTTACCAAAATTCAGAACTCAGAGGACGGTTACTATAAGTCCGAATAACGTTAATGTACCAATTGGGTGATACTCACTTTGAAATTAATTATATTGCAATCATAATTTTCTAATAAACAATCAATTATGTATATGTCTATTTCACTTACATGTGATACATTGGGACAATTAGACATGTAGTAAGTATGTATGACATATTTAAAATTAGGACAAATTACTGGTCTCGGTACTTACAACTAGGTGTAGCAGGCACCTACTCAATCTCTCTATTTGGGGGGAAAATTTGTCCGTTTTTAGGTAAATTTAGGGAAAGCTGTAATAGAAAACTCTGGGGAAATGGAAAGAAAACCCCAAAATGTTTGCGTTTTCCTAAATATTTCCCCAGAATCTTATAACACTTTCGGGTTGTTCCCGGAAATTTCCCGAAACATTGGAGGAAAACTACCAAACTTTTCACGAATTTGTGGAAAACCCCAAAATATGGAGATATGGTGGTACCTTACATCCTTGTAAGCTATAATTTGATTTCCAGTATATAAGGGTCATTGGTCACGTATAATATTCCTAAACTAAGTCCACTGAGTAGAAAAGATTGTCTACTGACAGATACAGATGGGAGCACGAGAGAAATATAAACAGAAAAAATATAACATTTTATGAACTTGGAGAAAGTTGGGATGAGCAGACGGTGTGCATTAACACAAACTTAAAGTAAGTAGTGGGTAGTAAATGTATATAAAGAGCAGACGACCCTTCGTAAATTCGGCAACGACAATGCCGAAAATTCAAAGGAAAAAGGGAGATAAACGATGAAACTAATTTATAAACGACCTTTGAGCGACGCAAAAGTGGCCTTGAGAATGTCCACCTAACGACTAGAACTAAATTAGGCATTTACACCAGTGTGAAAGATAAGGATTGTGATTCAAAGCTGATGGTTAAGAACAAAGACTAGATTGACGGTTTTCATTACGAAATGACATGAGTTAAAATGCCAAGACGATATTTAGCCAAATGCTTAAAGAATTTCGCGCCGAAATCCAGGACCTCTCATCGTGAATCTAATTAGTTTGTCCATAAATTATATTCTCACTATGTCTAGCCTAGAAATACGCTATGTTCTAGATATATACTCACATTTAATAATAAATGGGATCGACAATAGCCAACTATAGAATGAGCGCGAATTGACGCAAACCAATGGGTAGCGTACAGTTACAAATACTTAACATCATAAACATCAAAACAAACAAAGCCAGTTCTAAGTATCATAGCATAAAAACTCAATGCTTTCCATAATCTGAGTACAATATTGCATCGCTTTAATTATTTTAACGGCTCATATTAAAATGTACTTAACTGTGGTGTATTCGCTTATACGCTTGCACTCAACAATAAGCAGTCTGTCGTTTCCAATAACGGATTTTTAGTTCTTGCTGAAGCACTGAAAATCTTTCCGTTTCTCGTTTCTGCAAATGCTTAGTCTGTCGGAGTTAAAGTGGGATAATGTTACAGCCCAACTGACGTCGAAGTCATTAATAACTGACCACTTATCGTGGAATTAGGTAATGATGCTTCTGTTGTATTCTTACCATGTAAGTGGTTCAGTTGAATGTGAAACAAAAGGAACAGCAAAATTCTTTCGGCCGACCACCTGTTGCAGTGTATGGTTCTCCACCAATCCCTGTTATAAGTTCTTGACCTTAGTAATTCATATCACACTATTCGACATTTATTAATCCGTCTTCTAACGGAGAAGCGGGGACATTTACAAAGAACATTGTTTTACATGTAGTGCTATTTTCGGCGTTATTCATTGTGTTTGGTCTGTGAAATCCCTTCCGATTTTATGTTTGTCACTTGGTTCTGATTCATGCTCAATTCGTATATTTGCTTGCTGATATGAACTCGAGAAAGCTGTAAGTGGCTCAGAAGGAGACGAAGACATTCCATCCAATCACCTTTCAGAAGAATATTCTAGAATTATACGTGTAGCCTCTTGATTGGTCAATGCTAATATCCCCACGTACGCGGATTGATGGACTGTAATGATGATTTCCTTCTTACTAAAAACTATAAATACCTGACAATTTTGTACTATAATTGACACTGTTTGGAATAGTATTTCTTTCATTAGTCTTCCTTGTCTTACTGCGACTTGGAAGGGTTTTGGTGTTTTAGTGCTCTGTTATACGCGGTATATCAAGAAACCAGCCTTTGAGGTATAACAAACCCCAACCTATCATGGTGAATTATATATTTCATGATACACTCACCAGTCGGTATCAGTTTACAAGCCTGCGTTTCAGCGGTATAGAAGGTACCCCAAATACTTTTTAATAATCTCTAGGATATTTGATATCATGGAGATCGTAACTGGACTAAAAAATGTCAGTAAAGTGTTTAGCTTTTGACAAACTTACGCCTAGTTTGGAGTTACGTCGTTTGCTAGTACTAAACGCTCGCAGCAGCTTTCCTCCAAGATTCAGAAGCATTTAAAATGCTGGACCAACAGTTAAGTAAATACATAAAACTGACGTATTCTAAAGAATGAGAGCATTTAGTGACATTATACAGAGACATAAGTTTTGTAGTCTTGACAACCTAATATTTGGAAGTGAAAATTGATACGGTATGGTGTCGCATGGGCGACGAGTTCAAGTACTGTTGTGCAATCCATTCTGATATTTCTCGTAAGCAAATCTCTTCACGTGCGTTTTTCCTTATGAATATTCCCTTTTTGCGCCGTTACATGTGTTCTTGCTCCTACTGTTATCGTTATTTTTTATATTTGTTTCTCTTTTAGGTTTGCTTGCAACTGTTACTGACAATTGTGAATCGTAATGAATTTAGTGTTGTTGAGCATTGAATCATTTGGGTCGTTTTTGCTTTATTGAACATTCCCTTTAGGCGGTTACCGTATGAGAATACTGTTCCTTAATCTTCTTTACCAAGTTACTCTTTCTGTGTTGTTGATATCGAAACACGCGCGTTTGTATTGGGGAAGCAAACATTAATTAACTGCATCCGTTGTATAGCCATTATAATTGACTGCTGGTCTTCGAAGCAAGATGAACTAACCTGTGTTTTTCCTTTGTGTAGGACATTTTCTCATGACTGATACAAATATTTTTCCTATTGCGATAATTGAGTCTTATCAACTATGTTACTTTCTAGAGATGTACCATTCAAGTACAACTATTTTCCTGCACTTGGATATATTCTGACGGCATTTCTATTGTACTTGTTTAGGTGTCTTTTACGCTATTACAAATAAGCAGCTGGTCGTCACCGCCTTTTGATTCATTTGAACTCAGAAGTATAACTGAGAGAAAACCAACTAAAAAGACACTCAGTAATTCCTCCTGGATTTAACGACCGCATGTTCTAGGTAGCTTTAGGATCATTGTGTGAGGAATCCACGTACTCATCTTCCAAGTCGAGTAGCAACAATCCACTAATGCCTTCAGATAGAACCTAGAAATCGTATTTTCTATCTTGTGGTCTAAAAGATAAACAAACAAGAAATAACATGGGAATTCGGTTCTTTTACAATCAAAACAATTTTACCATATTTTGTGACAAACAAAGCTCTAGGCACAAGCAATTTGATTCTGGTTTTCTAACATTCGTAGTATGTCCTGTGAGATGGTCATTCCTGAAGAAAAAAAGAAAAAGAAAACATGAAAATTGCGTGGTCGTACGAATTAATCTCCTAACATACGGCAAAAAGGTTTCAGATTTTTCTCGTATGGAATTTCAGAACGCCTGCAGACCTAATTTATCATCCGAAATAACTAACCGAAATAAGATTTGGCTATGAAGATTACTCCTTAGTCCTCAAGCAACGCCGTTAAGTGTAGGCTCATAATAAAGCGTCATTAGTTTCTACGAGGTTGTAATATTCCATGCGCAGCTGCCACTTAGAATATATCTCATGTTTTTATATCTCTATCGATTAGAAGTACTGTCCTAGTTTTCAGTATCTCCAGAAAAGAGGAACATGTAAAGTGTTATCGATAAACGAACTCACCAGTGACAATACGAAACTATCACCACAACATTAACTTTCTTCAGTCAGTCAGCTACAACGTAGGACCAGGCACATATATGCATCGGTCCAAGTTGCCATATCTCATTAACACAACAAGATGAACACCGGATTTATAGAAGCATTTAATTCAGTAGTTGTAATATATAAAAGAAAGATTGCAATGAGGATATAGTACAGGAAGAAAGAATTAGTTCGTAGAAAGAAAGATATGAAGCGATTTTAATCTCATAGTTTAAGGGAAGACACAGAGTGTATACATTTACGCCATTGTGATCGATTCTGAGCCATTTTACCCAGTCTCCAATTATTGGTTACGATAGTCACGCGGACTCCAACCAAGTAGTCTGCATCTCCTAACATGGCTCAGACTAGAAGTTAGTGACTTCAAGCACTGATGCCACGTTTTGGTTTGGCCGCCCCTAACTTCCTTCCAACCATCGGCAACACTAGTCAGCATTGCACGTCATGGTAATCGGTGTTCAGGCATATGTAACACGTGGCCCAACCGTCTCAGTCGATGAAGATTCACAACCTCATCAACTGATTTATCATCAATCCCTAATATCATGCGTCTAACCTCACTATTACTTACCCGGTGATCCCACCAGATGTGAGCAATATTTCTAAGACATCTGTGGTCAGTTATTAGTAGCTTACGAGTGTCTTCTACTCTTAAGGGCCATGTTTCGCTGCCGTAAATTAAAACAGAACGAACTGCCGTGCAGTATACTCGTCCTTTAATGGATAGACGGATACCTCGCCTTCGTCATAGGTGACGTAAGTTGGCAAAAGCCAAGCGAGCTTTTCGAATCCGTGCTGAGATTTCGTCAGACACCAACCCATTGGGGCTGAATAGATTTCCAAGGTAAGTGAAGTTGTCAACGCGTTCGACTACTTCACTCACTATCCTTAATTCAGGTATTAACGCAAACCAGTCCTGAAGCAACAACTTGTATTTAGAGGGAGAGAAGCGCAATCCAAAGATTTTCACGTATTAAATTCTCATTTTGGAACCTATCTCAGAGAACGTGATTTTTGTATAGAGTCGCTATTCTATTCAATGATAATCCGGTTCATTTATCAGTGTTATTGTTGTATACCTGTTCAATTTGTTGTAACAACATGCATTTCAAAGGCATTGTACAATCAAAATACAAGATATAAAGCAGGTACTTTTCAAAATATAAAGGTCTTCTCGGTAAACAAGAAACATTCTATACACATCGGTTATATCGGTCTGACCTGTTCAAAAGATGAACACTGAATCCATAGGAACACAGTTATGTAAAGACAATCAAGAGCATTTGGCTAATGTCTTCGCAACAGGAAGTGACGTTTAAAACAAATGCCTTTTTTGTAATAAATTAAATTGATCGATTCAGTGAAGACGATCTAGAACACGGACATTCAATATCCTGATATTCGGCAAAATGTCAAGTAACACAGGCTTGGAGCGATCAGCAATAATTAAAAGACGTCATAAAAAGCAGTCTTAACCAAAAATTGAAAACAAAATAATAATAGTAGTTCCAAATGAGTCGGAAGACATACATGGTGAATATGAGTGGGTGCCAGTGAAGTGGAGGTGTATAAACAGTGGAATGCAGCACTCTGGTCACACGGATCTATACATCAAAGAACTTCCAGACACGCAGACGTGCACATACACATGTATGTAGAGTAACGTTAAAAACTGATTACCGAGTTGTAGATTAGCAGTTTATAAATGTTTACGTACCGTGATAGAATTTTACTCTATTATATCTTCGCTAACAGATAAGGCTCAAACTGACAACATTGTATTCCAATGCATTTCAATTTTCCCTAACTTAAGAAAGTACATTTACAGAAATAAAGTGAACTACAAGACCAGCTTAATTTTCATAAAAAACCTGTTCACAAATTCGTAAATGTGCTAACACATTGAACAGCTACAGAACATTTAACATCAGAGACATGTAGACGTTCTTTAAAGTAACTTACCCATTGATCATCCGTACAAAACGAAGAAGCCAACCAGAGTTGCGGTTTTACATTGGCATTAATGCCAGCGGGTCTAGACAAAGCCTAGGTCCAGCTTCTTCTAATGTTAGTATCATTGAATATGAAAAGCAGTCAAGTTGTTTCTTATGTATTCTAGATCCCAAGGAATCACCCGAAAAATGTCTTATTTCCATAATTTTGTTATGAAAAGTCGAAGT